TTTGTGTCCGCCTATGTAGCACGGAAACTCTCATGAAAGATACGTTTCTTTTTCGAAAACTAGCGTTTTTTGATCAAAAGTTGACGTTTCTCGTTCCCTCATGATTTTCGCCTTTCCGTGCAACATAGGTGTCTGCCACGCACTGCACACTGGCCAAGTATAAAAATACAAAAACTGTGATTTGACTAACACTTTTAATAATAATTCTGGTGTGCAGATTCTGAGGTCTATATTGCAGAAAAAGATATACCCACAGGGAGCTGCAATGCCGAGGACATCCCAAAAGATGTACAAGCTGGAGGATAACAGCTTATATTCATGTGGGAAATCTGACAGTGAAGTAGAAGACAGTGAAGAAGATGATGATGTGGATGAAGGAGTGAGGAAGGGAGGTGGTGAAGCGAGCACCAAATGGGTTAAAACGGATTCTGATTGTAAGTTTTCTAATTATTACTCCGTAGAATAAAAGGGTTAAATCAGAATTAGAAAATACTACCGTAGGTACTAGGTAGTAGTAAAATACACTAATATTAAATTATTACCAAACTTAAATAGACAAACCAGATCAAGTAGGGTAAGAGCAAAACTGAAATTTTAATTTAAGAAAAATAAAATTCTAAAAAATATTATTAAAATTAATAGATGAAATTGAACTTTTGCATTATTCATATTCTATTTTGACAACATTTTATTCATTAATATCATACTAAATAAAAAAAAATATATTAAACTTTTTCAATATAAATTTTGAAAATATATTTCTTATTAAAATTCTAGTGGTAGCTGATTAGAGTTTGATAGTGGTCAAAGTTAAAGTGTGATTGTTAATAAAGAAAAAATACACACAATCATTATTTAAATGAAGAACAAGCTACTTGTATACTTCCTCCGTTCCCTTTTAATTGCAACAGTCAACATTTCACGTTTGCCAACGCACAAGTTTGACCATTAATATCTTTCATTTCTTATTGGGAAAAGGTGCAAATAGGCCCATGTACTAACAAAAAATGGTCAAATAAGTCCTTATTTAGGAAGTTCTGTCTGGCCGTCGTCATTTGGGGTGGTTCCCGGTGGAATTTTATGATGAATTTTTTTGAGCATCTTATTCATCAAGTCTAGTTTACTCATACCAAATTTCAGCTAAAACTTCAATCGGGAAGGCATTCAAATGAATTCTTGAAGATAACTGCGCTTCTAACTGCCCAGTTATTTTCAAGAATTCATTTGAATGCCTTCCCGATTGAAGTTTTAGCTGAAATTTGGTATGAGTAAACTAGACTTATAAAATAAGATGCTCAAAAAATTGAATCAAAAAATTCCACCGGGAACCACTCCAAATGCCGACGGCCGTACAAAGCCTCCTAAATAAGGGCTTATTTGACCTTTTTTTGTTAGTACATGGGCCTATTTGCACCTTTTCCCTTTCTTATTAGATAAAAATTTAAAAAAATCATATTTTGAAAATTTAGAATAAGAAGAATTTAATAATATTTTTTACAAATTTAATTTATAATACATTGATTAATAAAATATAGTCAAAGTAGAATATGTGAATAGTGAAAAAAGTCCAATGTTGCAATTAAAAGAGAACGGAGGTAGTATAAATTTGTAGTCTTGTAGACATACAATAATTGGATGACCATGCATCTCATGTTTTAATATTAATTCATTCCCCAATATAATATAGGACCTAGGTATGTGGCATATAAATATGCTACCATATATACAATTAATATATCCTTTTATACGAATTGAAGTACGGAGTACGGGTGTATATGATTTCATTAAATTTACTGTTTTTTTTGTAATTATTCATTACTACGTATATACGGAGTAGAATTTATAAGCTGCATATTGAATATAAATTGTAATGAACATTATTGTGCTACTAATATGGATATTTACAAAATAACGAGTATTTTGTATATTTCTAAAAAACCATTAACACCAAATAACAACCGAAATTCATATCGTTCGTTGCAGTCATTGTTCTGGAGTTATGAGATTTTCCTCTTCCATAATTGGGCAACGTCGGGAGATCCCAAGGTAAAGAAGCTCATTCAACGTGTTCATGGTTGTACTAAAAAAGACTGTACTTTCTAGTTTCGACTATTCATATACTCCGTATTAAACTTGAATTAAAACCCATAAAGTCATCCGTTTTGGAATATACACTACAAAAAAAATATAGGATTGACAAAGATTTTTAGCAGGGATTCCCCAAAATTGACAGGGATGTATCACATTCGTGCCAAAAACACTTTGACACAAACTATTTAGTACGAAATTATCGATCAATCCATATCAAATCCGTGTCAATCTCGTAGTTTTTTTGTAGTGATAGATTACACGTTATTAATTATTTAAAAGAATGAAACACTAATTTCACAATACTATTTTACCTCACATGTTTGGAATCGGTTTTAACTATAATATTCAAAACTTTATTCAATACTTATATTTTTTTATTCAAATTGTCAAAATAAATCTAAAATATGCGTTTTTTTAAAATATTTTTCACATCGATTAGCAAATTATCTGGACCTTCTTTTCTAATTGTTCACATCGATCCTTTTCACTATAAACTAATCGTTTTTAGATTTCATTCCATTAATCTTTTAGTTTTAAAAGATTAATGGAATTTTACACATATACGGAGTATTAAATATTCTTCTGTAACATAATACGGAGTAGTACTTTGTTATGTGAAATTTGGTAGGTAGTTATGTGTTCGAGTGGAATATAATACACAGATTGAAGGTGGCTGGTGAGGAGGACATGATGATGGATTAGTTGCAACTTGCAATTCTTGCAAACATAACCGACGACATGATACAACATTGTTCTGATCGAACTCTGACACTACTTTGAGATGACTTTTTGCCATGGCTGATCTCATTATTGTATACTACTAGCATATTGCTCTAATTTAAAGAGTGTTTGCGGTTGATTAAAAAAAACACTTTTCAGCTTTTGACTTAAAAAAAGCTAAAAAGAGTGTTTTCAAATGACAACTTCTGCTTAAATTAATCACTTAAAAGCTAAAAGCTGGAAGCGGGTGGAAGGGTGCTTTAAACCGCTTTTCACTTTTTCTATTACACAAAAAGTACTTATTTTACCAAACACTACCAACTTTTACTTTTTCAGAATCGTTTTTTCCTCAAACACTACCAACTTTTACTATTAATCACTTTTCCCAAAATCACTTTAAAAAATCACTTTTTTAAAGTTGAAGTATTTGCAAACACTCCCTTAGTTGTTTCAATTTCTCCTTCAAATTATTCAATATTGTTGCTTTTTGGAAATAACACCACACTAGTGTCAACCAAGATACACATTTTTGTACACACATTTACACACCCGTGTATGTGAAGTGTTTTGTTTTGTATGTATACAAACACAACTTATTTCACAGACACTTCAAATGCGTTGTGTCTGTATACAGACAAAAAAACACTTCACAGACACGAGTGTGTAAGTGTGTGTACAAAAAATGTGTAACAATAGTTTTTTCCTAAAGCGATCCAAAATAAGACTCCACCACACAAAATTAATTAGGGCCAAGGCCGGAAAACCGAAAATTGAGTCAAACCAAATTGAAGTGAACCAAATTACCCAACTAAATTGAACTGCAAAAAACGAAACCAAATATAAAAAACAAGACCGATTGTTTAGTTCAATTTTGGTTTTGTCCCTTCAAAACCAATTAAATATGATTTTATATATTTACCTTTAATTATTGCCACATAGGCTTGGACCCGGTTCGGGCCACCGGCCCGGGAACCGGATCGGCCCGACACTGTTTGGGCCTGGCCAGACCCCGGGAAATCAGGTACCGGTTCTGGGTCATGACCCGGTTTTTGGGATATCCGGGTGCGAGTACGGGCTTAGAGAAAGGTGAACCGGCCCGGCCGGTTCGGGCCATTTTATTTTTTATTTTTATTTTTTTGTTTGGGCTGGGTTTAGAACTTTAGATGGGCTGGGTGTTTCCGATGGGTTTGGGGGATGAGGGGTAGGGGATGAAATAATCAAAAAAAGCAAAATAAATAAATAAATAAATAAAAGAACCGGACCCGGCCCGGACCGGTGGTAACCCGGGCCGGTCCCGGGTCTTCACCCCAACCTTCAAAAGCCCGCCGGGCCTAGGCCCAATCCGAACCCGGCCCAGCCCGAGTCCAAGCCTATTGCCACATACTTCCTCTGTCCCACTAACAATGGGACAAGAGGAAGTGACACGCAAATCTATAAAAAATGATTGATGTGATTGATATTGAATTGATAAAGTAAGAATAATTTAGAATCACAAATTTTACAAAATAAGGTATGAGACAATCTTAGTAGGACAAACTGAAAAGATAGAATGAGATAATCTTAACGGGTCGTATTACATAGTAGTAATATTTTAGTAATAATCTCACACCTAGTCATGGACCTAGGACCGGGTCGGGTCCGGCCTAGGCCCGGTCGGGTCTGGATGGTTGTTGTTTAGGCTCGGGACCGGCCCAGTTGTCTACCGGTTCCGGGCCGAGCCGGTTCCGGTCCTTTTATTTGTTTTCTAATTTATTTCATCCCCCATCCCCCAAACCCACCGGAAACAGCCAGCCAAGCCCAACCTAGCCCAACTAAACCCAGCCCAAACCTAAAAAAAAATTAAAAATAAAATAAAAGGGCCTGAAGCGGTCCCAGAACCGGCCGGGCCGGTTCGCATTTCACCTATCTGGACCGCCCCCGGTTACACCCTAAAACCGGGCCTAGACCCGGAACCGGTACCTGAATCCCGAGACGGGAATTATACAGTACCGGGCCGGGCCGGTTCGCGGGTCGGGTGACCCGAACCAAGTCCAACACTATTCACACAGTCACACCCTCTTAATTACTTTCAACCGTCTCTGAGTAATCCAATTTTTTGTGAGTCATGAATCATCTAATTAATTCTAATCTCATAAATAACCTAAATTAATATTTCATATTTTGATCTTAGACTATTTGATCAAATACTCCTCCATAATAATCTCTTTCACTCAATCATACTCAAATATAATCAGCCATATCACCAACACCATCCCTCGACCTTCTCATATCATGGATGAGGATGCACGAAAAAAAAAAAGCAATCAAAAAAGCAAAGCAGGGAGACACCAATCAAAAAAGCAAAACCTACTCCAAAGCAGAGAGACGTTGGTAACAGTCTCCACCTGGGACCAACGTTTTACAGGCACAGCATCTATCTGACTTTATTATTACTCCCTAAGAATCTAAGATAGTTATTGACAGAGTCACAGGAGAATATACACATCCCAAAACATAAACAAAATTTATTTCAAAAGCTAATTCAACTGGTGAAAACACCTTTAACTAGTCCCTGTAAGGAGCCACCCATTCCTGCACCTACGGCTTCGGCCAAATATTTTGCCTGCACAAGTTGAGAGAAATGAAAACATTTCTTGAAATTTAAATTCTTATGCGATGAAAAGAAACTGGACCAAAATAATCTCCAAAGCGAAAACGTAAAAAGGTACCTCTTGGGCAGTCTTTCTTAGATCAAAGGCATCTTTAATCCGAGCATTCAAGAATGCCCATGTATCATGGAAATCTGTAGTAAGGAGAGCAAGAGTGTATAAACAACTATAGAGGTTCAATTCTAAATCCAAACCTAATGCAAGCCCTGTTCTAAAAAAAGCTCCCTAGACCCCGGAACCATGATAAGTCATTGTTAATGACACTTAGGCTATGTTTGGCATACAAAAGCTGATTACTTCTGACTTATCTATTATTGAAAAAGCTTCTAAAAGACTCGAGTTTTGTGTTTGGCCCATTAACTTTTTTGAGAAGACCGGGACTTTTACGTGACGCTAAGCAAGGAAGCGTCTCACAAAAAGACCTTATCATTATTTACGACATTCCTTGTATAACCCTCCACTTCCTCTCTTTCATCTTCTCCAACTTTGCTATCAACGTCAATATCCCCCAAGTAACCTGCAGGTGAGTCCGTCTTCTTCAATTCCCCTGATTCTGTTTCTTAAACCTTTTAATTCATCTCAATTTTTAACCGATGTGTTGTTGATTATTTTTGTTTTGTTTAATAATTTGTTTTCAAAACTTGTGTGATGAAAAATTTTGGGTTGAGTAATTGTTTCATGTTCAGTTTCGTTTCGTTTATTGTAATGCTAATAGTTGTTGTTTTCCCTGAGTTTTTCATGCTTCTTTGGTTCAATACAATGGCCTTTCTTGTTTTATTTCGTACTGTGGCCGTTTCTTGTTTTATTTCGTACTGCTTTGCCTTTTCAGCTTTTTGGGTTTATTTTCCTGCATTTTTCATAGTTTTTTGTGTATTCATGTTATGTTTTTTCTTCAAATTTTGATGTAATTTTTTACTGTAATATTTTGCTGATATTTCCTAACATTTTGCCCTTTTACTGTTTTTTTCTTTTGTGTGTGCTATGTTTTGTTTTTATATGTTGTAGCACATTTTAGCTGCTATATTTTGTTGTCCAATGCACATCAGTAACTCAATGGGTGTAATATTGGTTATTCACGGCTCGAAATGAGTACTAAAATCTTTAATATGACGGTTCGTTCCCACAAAAATCTTCTCCGTTTGAATGGATTATCAGGAACAAATGAAAATGGAGAACTTGTTAATTAATTAATAATATTTGATCATTGCCCTTAATTGTAATTTTATAATTTCAGCTACTTGTAACAGCTAGTTTTGCCAAACAAGGCTATTTAAAAAAGGTAGCTTTCATGAAACAGCTACAGTCTTTTTCCACCTGCAAGCTTTTCAGCTCAAAAAAGCTAACAGTTACAAAAAAGTCTATAAAAGATCTTTTCAGTTTGTCATGCCAAACATAGCCTTAAACTGCACTTAGATGTGAGGCACTGCCTAGTTTTTGGGTGCTTTGATTTTCTTTGGTTCCTAGACGCTAAACCGTGAGAATAAAATGATCATTGTTTGCAACACAGAATACATTAAAAAAAGAATACATCGTTTTAAAAAAGGATGTCACCCCATTTCTAAGCCCCTAGAACCCGTCATATCCGGGAGGATGTAAATTGAACTTTAATCATAAACTGGTTGAAAGAGAAACGAAATTCCAGCCCAAGTCTTTGCTTGGAGTTGAATCTGGGACCACTTCTTTTTGGCACCCTCTTCCCACCGGGTGAGCTACGTCCCCGGCAAGAATACGTCATTTCAATCCTATATCATATGTAGACGAATTTTAGTATTTAATAATTGATTTTTTTTCATATACTCTCTCCGTCCCATATTGGTTGTCTTAAAATTTTACATTATTTAGATTACTTGGTCTTTATAATAGAAATGTATTTAGGAAGGCTTATATCGAATATCTAAAATTGATTTATTGAGTTTACATGAACCAAGTCTATAACTTTCCCCAGCTTTGTGTCCTCTCAAATTTCTTCTACGCGTACATCTGTACTTTCTTTCGCTATAATTGCCCTAGCATTTTCCATGTTAGGGACCAGCCTATAGGTTTAAAATTTCAAATTTTGTTCGTTTTTACATATTGAGCATTTTGGCTACACCACACTTGAAGTGCTGCTCATACCTCCACTGTCACTCATCTCAGGGAAAGTGAAGATAATTACACATAAAACATGCAACCTTAGCACTGTAAAGCAAATGGCTAATGTCTTACTAAAAAATGAATGGAATTCACGACCAACATGCAAACGTAGCACTATAAAAACAATGTTTTAATGAGTTAGGCAGCTCCAGACTGCCTTAGTTAACAGGCTGGCATTAATAAAAACTTATAGGGTATATTTGGATACCGTAAGGTGCTATGGGAAGGGAAAAATCACCCAAGGAAGTTACTCCATACTTTCTTATGTTTGGTTTACCTTGGAAAATTCAAAGTAAAATGAAATATGAATAAAGTAATAGACATACAACAACAACGACAAAGCCTTAGTCCCAAAAGATTGTTTGCCAACCACATTTCCATTCCTTAGTATTTTCAGTGATCCAAATCGACCTATACTGCTGTCTAGGACAACTTAGTGAATAGGCAGTGATTAGTTGGGGCTACATGAATTTTTAATAACATTGCTATTATAAACAAACCTGGAGAGTAATCCGTCAGCATGTATAGCTCGGTAGTAGAGTATATTCCACCAAGCACGGTTCGCTTCACATACCAATCAATATCACTTCCATCATCACCAGCAGCATGCCAAATCTCATCAACCAACATTGCTCTTTGCTTGAAGCTTGTCGGAACGTTCATTGGATGTGCCTATTAAATATTAAAATCATAAACTGTTATTTTAAAGATCTTTATTAGGTTTTCTGCTATATTACTGCAGCTTAATAATACAAAATTAAATATAGAAAAATACCTGTATACTGAGTGCTTGAGCCCATTTTGAAATGTAAGGGGACTGCAATTCTAACCGAAGTCTTACAATAGTTGCAACACGCTCACTAGGTATCATGGTTTTCAAATCCGTTCTTGATTCAATAACTTCAATTAGCCTTTCCAAACACTCGTCCATAAAAAACTGAAGAGGAAAAATCATTATATGAGTTGTAACATTGAAAACTGGCTACAATTACTAAAAATTAGCACCATTATCAAGACAAACAAAAACTAGAAGCATTTGATTACTTAAAAGTTGGTAATTAAGATAGTAAATAACCTCCACTAGAGCAGCTTCTTTCCTATGAAAAGATCCAAGGATTGAAGGAGACAACCCAGCCTCCCTTGCACCTGCAATCATGGCTGCTTCAGTCCATCCCAGTTTAATCTGCAATTGAAAAAATCAAATCAAACCAGGCCTCCAACCAAACTTACAGGATCAACCCTGCGATTTCATCTTTTTCACTGAATTTTTCTGAATTAAAAGCTATTGTAGGTTATCCGTCCAGCATTGTATTATCATTTCAGCATTTCCACTATAACTAAGATCTACGGTGAGAACTTGATGCAATACTGAAGAAACAGAGCACAGAGGGGAAGATATATGCGTACCACATGAGGCAGGGAGGCGCTTAGAACACGGAACTGCTCGTCCTGGTATTGAGCCCTATGCCTCGTTTTAGGCGTTCCCGGATCCGTCTTCTCCTCCTCGTAGCGGCGATATTTCTCATCTTGGCTCTCCCCTGATGACGCAGTAGTGGATGATGCGGGGTCTGAAAAAGCAGAGTTTCGACTCGGAATTGTCTCAGATGCAACGGAGCTGAAAAAACGCGGCGTTTGGAACCGTGCAACAGTAGGACAGGAAGAGAATTTTAGCTGATTGTTGCAGCGGAGCAACGCCGGAAATAACCGCTCCGCCGTTGTTCGGAACATGATTTACAACTATCTATCTTCAGATACAGGTACGTGTTTATACTCTGGTTTAGATACGAGCCCGGAAAATACTCTCTCGAAGTTTCCTGTACGAGAGTAGAAGCAGTGCAACCAAACAAAAGTTGATGAAAAAAGGGTGAAATTCATAATAATAATTCTTAATTTGAATTTTAGAATGATAATATGCCCTCCGTATTTCAAAGATCGTTACATTTGGTTACCACACAAGATTTAAGGCAAAATAGTAAAAATAATGAATAGTATAGAAAAAGTTGTCTCATGATTATAATATTATTATGAAAAAATTGATAGTAATAATCCCAATTATTGGCGGTCCGCTCATAATAATCCCAACTATTGATTATTACAGAATAATCCCAACTTTAGGGACCTTCCGCCAATAATGGTCCCTATGAATAAATTCTTATAGTTTCTAAAGTGGATGAGATGAGATATAACAAGTAATCCCTATAAATAATCTCAACTTTTAATTTTTACGCTTAATTTCTATTTAAAATTCACTTTTTATAGAGGTAATATATGGCTATGGACCATTATTGGCGAATAGTCTATATAGTTGGGATTATTCAAAAATAATCAATAGTTGAGATTATTTTCAGCGGACCAACCATAGTTGGGATTATTATTTTCAATTTTTCCTATTATTATTCAATTACATTTTGCTTTCTTAACTTATTTCAAAATACTAAATGTTTTATTTTAATAGTTAGTTGCCACTTTGCGGCAGGACATGTTTTGTGTAAAACATTTTACATCAAATGGAATTCTTTATTAAAAGAATGCATTTACGGTTATTTTATAGAAGAGACATCCTTTCGGTTCAGGATTCATGGCCGTTCAACCAAGGTTCATTTGGGTTGATAGAAAAGTCTCTTCTTAGAGAGTTGCCCTATAATTATAAATAACATTCGGACCATGTTAATTAATATACGAATCGAAAGTCAGTTTTACTCTTCTCTTGCCTTACTAAAATACTAATATCTGCAGTGTTAGTATTGGAATGTTTAGACCACTTTATATACATATCACTTGTTTAATGTTATTTTGTCAGTAGCCAAAATATACTGTACACCTTCTTTTTATCCCAAAAGTTATATCTTGTAACCCGGTTACTGTGATAAAGGTAAATAGTAAACTTTTAGTAAAACGTATTTTATACGTTACTAGAAATGATATCCGGTCCTGCCATATTTCACACCCTTATACTTCATTATTTTTATCCTCCAGTTCTAACACTTTTTACCACATTCCCCGAATCAACTTCTACACCACTATTGACAGTTGGGGTAGAAACCTAATCCTAAAAAAAAGCCATCACTGAACAATCATAGGAATAGAATAAATAGGTTGAGACCAAGTGACAGAACTCTCTATGAGTTGGGTTCAGACCAAGTGACAGAATTCTATGAGTTGGGCTACATAAACGATCTTTTTAGTAGAGCGTGAAAATTTCTTCCCGCTTTCGGTCTTACTTTTTTATTTCAACTAGACAAAGTACTCGTACGATGCACAGGGTACATCTAGAGTGGAATAATAACTTGTTTGAAATTACATTCTATTATGGAGAATGATAATGGTATGTAATGAGCAATAATTTTCTAAATAAAAAGGGGAGAGAGGCCAATTATCACTTAAATCCTTATACTTTTTTTTTTTACTCCAGGGGGTCTGGGGGAGGAGGGCTTGGGGGCCTAGAGTGCCTAGCGGGTTTCGAACTCGAGGCCTTTCGCTAGATACGGTAACCTCGCAGCCAGCTGAGCTGGAATGCTTGGTTACTTAAATCCTTATACTAAAAAAATACTTCTTCCGTCCCACTAAAATTGTCTCATTTTATCTTTTCAAAAAATCCCACTAATATTGTCTCATATCAAATTTGATAAAGATTATGTGGTTCTGAATCATATTTACTTTATTCTTACTTTATCAATTCAATATCAATCACATAAATTCACTTTTGTTAATAATCGTGTCACCCTTCTTGTCCTAATGTTAGTGAAGGAATGTAGTACTACGTATCATATAAATATGCTTACATTAAAAAAATGATCAATCTAGCATTTAATAGATTTCTGACCTGTAATAACGTGTTTTTATATTAAAAACTTGTTAGCATTTGAAGAACTATAAATAAAAGTTGTGTACATTTTAAGAATGTGAAAAATATTTTTTTTGAATTTTTGGAACTATTTGTATGTTCTACATCTTTTTAAAATTTATTTTTTTAAATTTTTTAGTTCTTACACTTTGACTGTACTTTTTCCCTTTTTCTATTGTTTATTTTAACTTGTTTAAATTACCTATCTGGTTTTGAAATAATACTGTTTTTATATCATTCCTACAATTTTTTTCAAACTTATATTGATTTTTTATATGATTAATCAATTATTTTATCTTTTTAATAGCCTACTAAAGCAAGTTAAAATTCTTTGATTGATTGTATTTTAAAAGTAAACATACTTATATAACAGGGAAATTGCTTTAAATAGGAATAACAAAGTTTTTGAATTCCAAAAAGAAAAGAATTGTGAATTAAAAGAATGTCATATTTTTGTTCCTTAAATAGTAGGAACTCCTACTGCCATGTTTTGGCATTATTAGATTTGAAGAGTCCTTTTGGTCACTCGTATTTTCGGCTTATCATTTTTATCAACTAACTTTTTCACCAAACATGTAACTTTTCATTTTACATGCTGAATTGTGTAATAACCAGGATAAGTAATATTAGAGCTATTTTTCTTCCTCAATGGGCTGAAATTAATGTAGAAGCTGGTTTTATCCATTTTCATATAACTTTTTCTTGTTTCATTAGTCAAAAATATTTTAAATATAATCTTTTCGTATTTCTGTAGATTCAACCAACTCAGTCATTTCAGTTAGAACCTTATCAATTTTTCATGACCAGAGCGCCGTCCAACCACCTCGTTTTGACTTTTGAGGTGGTTCCTAATGCTATTTTTTGTTAAATGTTTTCGAGCATGTTCCACCTGAAGTGTAGATGATGTCCACAAAAATTTGAGCAAAAAATTCAACCAGAAAAGCAATCAAATAATTTTTTGGAAAATAAGTGCATTTTTTTGTATGTATATTTGGCAATATGTAATGTTTTATATGTAACCAATATATGTATATAGTAGGAGTAAACACCTATATGGCAATATTAATTAATAATAATTCATCATTTGATAGTATGCAATGTTGTATATATATATATGGTAAATAGAAGATGTTGACGTACACTTTAAAAAAATGTTGATGTACACCTTCACATTGTCATAAACATGTGACACATGGTCAATAAATTATGACACATATGTCCTCCGTATATATATAATTGTGAAGTTAGTTTTGTTTATTTCCAAAAATAGTGTATGAAAAATATGTAAGGAGTGTTAATGTGTATGCATGATGCATACCGTATTTTCTAATTTTGTAAAAAATGCTCAAACCTTACCATATTTTCATTCTTTCAATGATGCAATATTTGGCCAATTAACCGAGATTTCATTTTTATTCACATTGATTTCTCATTATGCATTTAATTAATTTGGGCGGGAATTTTCCCTCCAATAGTTGTAGCAAGACTGTTACTTTATATTACATAAAGATTGAAATCAATTTCCTTGCTACGTTGAGATATTATGTGCAATTCATCTTTCTGAATCTAATAAGTAATATTTTTAGTTTCTTTTATTAATTCGAAGTAGTTTATTACGTAGTACTTTATTTGTTGTTATGTTAATTGTTCCTTTTTCTAAATGTTGGTACAATAGTATAAGGTTGGCTCTACGTGTATCTAAATTGACTGAATTGGGGTCTTTATTTTTTAGAATTTGAAATATAAAAAAAATTAATAGTTATGTTTTTTTAATTAGCTTGAATGTAACAGTATTATTTAAATTGATTTTTATTTTAATACTATCTATAATATTCCCTCCGTCCCACAAATTTTTTATCACTTACCATTTTAGATGTCCCAAAACAATTCTCATTTCCAATTTTGAAAAGTTATGTGTGTCTAAAATTCATTTACATTTTTTCTTACTCAACCACAACCATACATTTTCAATTTATTCCCATTTTCTTAAACTACGATCCAAGTCAAAACAAAAATCAAGAATTTTATGGGACGGAAGGAATAACTGTATTTTTGATAGCATATCTTTTGTTGTTTGTAATTTTTGCCAATTTGCAAGTATAATTGTTAAAACAGTTAAAGAGATGCATTTTTTTCATTATAGTAACACACTAATATATGTCATGTTAAATATTGGTATTAATATACTATATCTTGTCTAGGGCTTCAAAAACCATCTAGCCGGTCTTGAGAGAAAATATACTGCTCCGTATTTAGATTCTACAATAATAATTATTCTTTGTGTTCATACAAATAATATGAACAAATAATGTGAACTCTTATTTGTGTCCCATTAGTATAATTCAAGAAAACACATTTCTTAGATTAGGGTCCAATTTATTAACCTTCTAGTGCATACTGGCTTCACAACATTTTCCTCTTAAAGGTATAAATCGTGATCTATTCACCAAATAGACAACAATGTTAACCGTTTCACACCAAAATTTCTTAGACAAATCAAAGATATTTAACATGCTCCTGACTTTGTTCAGAAGGGTTCTATGCATCCTCCCAGTCACCCTATTCTATTGAGGGATGTAAGGGACATATTTGTTTCTTCTAATGCAAATTTCCTATTACAATTAATTCTAAGCTATTGTTAGTCTTAAGAGTCATCTTTCTTCGTGGATTGCTTCTCAACTAGCAGTTTTTCAGACCTTAAATGTTTCAGACATCAGACTTATGATCTAACAAGCAAACCCAAACTTTCTTAAAAAAACCATGGGTAGGGCCATTGGCGGCCTCCAAGCATCAACATGCATATACTCGAGCACAAAAGATCCCTTACCATAATAATCACACCTATGCATGATATATAAACCCTTATTGATCATATGTCATAGTCTATTATGTCACAAGGAGGTCTTATCAGAATATACAACATTCACATCATTAGTAAAAGGTTTATCATGACACACATACAAGTTATTCACATTT